AAAAAAAAAAAAAAAAAAATTTGTATCAGGTGTCCAACAATAGATGAATATATGAAGAAAATGTTGGCCTCTCTCTGTCTTCTCTGCACTGGGGAGCAGCTCTCCTGCCACAGTCCCTCATTCAGATGTACGCCTGCTCCACGTTTGTCTCTACCCCCTCCTTGGTCAAGAGTACCTCTCAGCTGCTAAGCCAACCACTGACGGCAGTGGTGCTGAACCGACCAGAGACACTACCAGATGAGAGCCTCAGCAGCTTGGCAGTCTCGCATCCCCTTACCTCACTTGTCCCTAGCCGCAGCTTCCAAACCAGCACCATTTCAAGGGACATGGACACAGCAACCAAGTTCATTGGGGCTGAGGCTGCCACAGTTGGGGTGGCTGGCTCTGGGGCTGGGATTGGGGCTGTGTTTGGGAGCCTCATCATTGGTTATGCCAGGAACTCTTCTCTGAACAACAGCTCTTCTTCTACACCATTCTGGGCTTTGCCCTCTTGGGGCTCTTTTGCCTGATGGTAACCTTTCTCATCCTCTTTGCCATGTGAAGGAGCTGTCTCCATATCCCATCGTTCTTTCTCCCACGTCTTGTCTGCCCTGTGTGTCCTTTTTTCTGTAGCTCCCCAGGCAGCCTGGGGAAACTGGTTGGCTTAGGGTTTGACAGAGGGAAGATAAATAAATACTGTATTAATAAGAAAAAAAAAGAAAATGTTTATACTTATCATGGAATATTATTCAGCTGTGGTAGCCATGATCGTGCCACTGTACTCCATCCTGGGTGACAGAGTGAGACTCCAACTCAAAAAAAGAAAAAAAAAAAGAAAAAGGCAGGATTTATATCAATATGTCAACATTTGGTAGTTGGATTACCAATATTTTTATTTTCTTCCATATATTTCATGCTTTTCTATATTTGAGGAGTTTGGGCTATGTGTAAATTTTACATGTGTAATCAGAAAAAAATAAACCTGGCTTAAAAAGAAGGGAATTTCATGTTCTATCAAGAAGTATCAGTTGTGACTGATTAAAGAGACTTGATACAGTCAAATGAGCAAGATAAAATAAAATGAAAAGGAAATTATACTTCAATGAAAGGAACACATTCAGTAAGCACTGGAAATCAATAAGGTGAGCCAAGTCAGCTCTAATATCTCTTCTGTGACATACTCATGCTCATGTCAATCAAACATCTTCTGAAACTACCCCCATTCTCCTCTTGCCAGCCTCAGAATCACCATTTCCAGGTCCTTCCTCAATGTCGTTTTAAAAAATCAATTCTGGCCGGGCACTGTGGCTTACACCAACCAGCACTTTGGGAGGCCATGAGTTTAAGACCAGCCTGGGAAACATAGGGAGACCTCATTTCTACAAAATAAAAAATTTTAAAAATTGGCAAGTGCCTGTAGTCCTAGCTACTTGGGAGGCTGTAGAGGAAGGATCTCCTGAGCCCAGGAGGTCGAGGCTGCAGTGAGCCATGATAGCCATTGCACACCAGCCTGGATGACAGAGGGAGACTATGACTCAAAAAAAAAAAATTTCTTATTTATTTATTTATTTATTTTTATTTATTTATTTTTGAGTTGGAGTCTCACTCTGTTGCCCAGACTGGAGTGCAGTGGCCACTCCCAGTCACTGCAGCCTCGACCTGCTGGGCTCCTGAGATCCTTCCACCTCAGCCTTCCGAGTAGCCGGAATTACAGGCATGCGCTACCATGCCCGGCTGATTTTTTTTAATTTTTTTATTGTAGAGATGAGGTCTCGCCAAGTTGCCCCGGCGGGTCTCAAACCCGTGGGCTCAGGCAAAAAAAAATCAATTTCATGGATTCCTCCAGACTTTCCCTTAGTGCACATTCTGCCCAAATGCCCAAACAATCTTCTTATTCCTGAATGAACGGCAGCCTGGGGCCTTAAACACCCTTTTGCACACACCTTTTTCTTGGATCTCAGCATGGCCTCAGGACTCCAGCTATCTTTCCTTTCAGCCTTGAGGCCCCAAAGTCTTCTGTCTTTCTCTCTGTGTGCCGTATCTTTCAGAATTCCTGTCTTAAAAATGTTCTCAGGAGCCGGGCTCGGTGGCTCAGCCTGTAATCCCAGCACTTTGGGAGGCTGAGGTGAGTGGATTGCCTGAGCTCGCGGGTTCGAGACCCGCCTGGGCAGCGAGACTCATCTCTACAATAAATAAAAAAATCAGCCAGGCGTGGTAGTGCATGCCTGTAATTCCGGCTACTTGGAAGGCTGAGGCGGAAAGAACGCCGGAGCCCAGCAGGTCAAGGCTGCGGTGGCCGGGAGCGGCCATTGCACTCCTGTCTGGGTAACAGAGTGAGACTCCAACTCAAAAAAAAAAAAAAAAAATGTTCTCAGGCTTTGCTGGGTGCTGTGAGCTTAGACCTTGGGACTCTGCCTGTTCCAGCTCCTCAAGCCTGAGGCTATTTGTTCCCTCACCACAAGCTTGGTCACTCCCGACTGATGTAGCTTTGGCCTCATGACCCAGTGGGGCTTAGAATTCAGTCTTGCAGAAACGGTACTTTCATATACTACTGACATGTACAACCTTTCAGAAAAGCCATTTGGCATTGTGAACCAAGGTCCTGAAAATGTTCACACCCTTGAAAGTCTAACCTTATCATTCCGTTTCCAGAACCACTTTAGATGAATGGGCAAGGATTTATGCAGAAATATTAATCACCTAACAATTTAAATTAGCAAGTCAACATCAGCTACCTAGAAAGTCCCAGAATAGAAGACTGATCAGGTAAACTATGACATGAGCCTATTACGGACAGTTAGGCAGCCATTAATATGTCTGTGAAGTAGTATTAATGGCATGGAAAAATACTCTGGATCTAAATTGTGTAAACAGTATAATTTCAAGTGAAATTTAAAAAGATATAGAAGAAAAATTGGGGGAAAATTGCCAAATTATTAATAGTTTGCCTCTGGATAGGGAGATTAAGGACACTTCCCCTCCCTCTTTGTCTTTATACTTGTACTTTTCAAGTATCCTATAGATCACTTTTAAAATCTAGAGAAGACTTTTTTTTTTTTTTTTTTTGAGTTGGAGTCTCACTCTGTCACCCAGACTGAAGTGCAGTGGCCACTCCCTGCCACTGCAGCCTCGACCTGCTGGGGCTCCGGCGATCCTTCCAGCTCAGCCTTCCAAGTAGCTGGAATTACAGGCATGCGCTACCACGCCCGGCTGATTTTTTGATTTATTGTAGAGATGAGGTCTCGCCAAGTTGCCCAGGCGGGTCTCGAACCCACGGGCTCAGGCAATCCACTCACCTCAGCCTCCCAAAGGTGTGGGATTACAGGCTAAGCCACCGAGCCAGGCTTGAGAAGACTTCTAAATAATCCCCACATATAAGGCCGGCGGTGGTGGGATCATGCCTATAATCCCAGCACTTTGAGAGGCCTGGGTGAGAGAATTGATAGAGCCCAGGAGTTTGAGACCAGCCTGGGCAACATAGTGAGATCTTGTAATAAATTAAAACAAAATTAACCAATCCTACTTGGGAGGCTGAGGTGGAAGGATTGCCTGAGCCCAGGAGGTCGAGGCTGTGGTAAGCTGTGATTGTGCTACTGCACTTTGGCCTAGGTGACAATTAGACCCTAACTCAAAAACTACAACTACAAAATAATTCCCACACACAAAAGAAGAAACAATCAAATCACAGTTGGACTTGGTGCTCTCGTCATAACTGCTGGGCTTCTGTGTACATCAGAGTGGCCCATGAGAACCTGGCCTGTGTTTCATCTTTTTTGTTGCTGTGTGAGAGCTTCTATTCATGTTGGGCTGGGGCGGAAGGCAGAGGACCCTTTAGGTTTTTGATCTCTGTGCTCTTCATGGTGGAGCTCTAATATGGAGGAAATGGGCAAGAAAATTCTGTTTAGGGGGGTGTTAGTGTTTATGAAAAGACTTTGGGGCCAGGCTCGGTGGCTCAGCCTGTAATCCCAGCACTTTGGGAGGCCGAGGTGAGTGGATTGCTTGAGCCCATGGGTTCAAGACCCGCCTGGGCAACTTGGCGAGACCTTATCTCTTCAATGAATCAAAAATTAGCCAGGCTTGGTAGCGCATGCCTGTAGTTCCAGCTACTTGGAAGGCTGAGGCGGAAGGATCTCCTCAGCCCGGCAAGTTGAGCTATGTAGCCATGATAGTGCCACTGAAGTGCCGTCTAGGCGACAAAGGGAGACTCAACTCAAAAAAAAAAAAAAATGAAAAGACTTTGGGGTTGTTCTCAGGGACTGGATGGAGGGACAGCCTTTTCAATGAGAAGCTGCCGTCTAAACTCAGCTCCTGCTTTCGATGGAAAAGGCTGGGTAAATGTCTGAAAGGCCTGGGAGCCAAGAACACAGGTCCTGGGAGCCCAAGATGGGCCCCCAAGCTCATGGATAATGCTGTGTTCCTCTGAGGGCCTCAACTGACCTGGGCAGGGGACAGTGGCATGAAGTTGCCCTTTAGCCACAGACCATGTGGCAGGGAGGAAAACTTGCAGCTGCAACAGGAGACTCAAGAGTCCCATCTCCCACTGAGAGTGAAGTGTGATAGACTTCCTTGGTGACATATTCCTCTGTGATGGCAGCCAGCCCTCCTGCCTAACTTCTATAGATCAACATTTACCCTGGTGCCCACCGTCTCTAGATGGTGCCTATAACTATTTTGCCATTTTGTATATCATCAGCTATCCGGTCATACTTCTCAAGTCCATCCCTACAATAGAGTTACATTCTCCAACTCTTATGCTTCGAGCATTTCCCCCTTTCTTTCCATTCAAACCACAGTCTTCCTAGTCACAGTAACAAGAAATTCAGGGCCTCCTTCCCAAGTCATGAGTTATGACCATCCAATCGACCATATGAATCTTGACCAGATCTGTGGGTCAGGGAATTGGAACAGGAAGTAATCTGTAGGTGTTCTCCCAGGGACAAATAAGAGCCACTTTGGGTTTCCTCCAGGTCTCTGGTGGCAGGTGGTCAGAACTGTGCCAGCTTGTCTAGCAACATTATACATTTTGTTCAGGATGGTGGGTGGGTGCCATTAGCTGGTCTGGGTGGGCAGAGAGGCCCCTCTTCCTGGATGCCCTGGCATATGGGAATTGGTGAGACTGCAGAGGTGTGACCAGGAACAGCAGAGAAGACAGTCCCAAACATGGAAGGGAAGGAGGGACTGGAGAGGAGAGAAAATTTCCACTTGGCTTTTTGAGCTTCTTGCAGGTCCCCAGAGCACAGCAACTTGGCAGCTGAGTGCCCCATCCCTAGTCTTTCTTCATGAATTTTTCATTTCAGGCAAACAGCCCTTATCTCTCACTGGAGCTGCTTTGGGAGCCTGCTTTCCCATCAGCTGGAGACTGGGAAGATGAAGGGTTGCATTAAGGCAGGAATTAACCATCCCTTGAGAAAGAAATGGCACTCTGTGCCCTTGAAAGGACAGTCCCTCCCCCATCGCTCTTTACTGTAGGCCTCTGTCAAACACTGGGTTGCTGTTTTTATTGAGATATTGTTGAGGGCTGAGAGAGAAAGACTTCAGGAGCAGTTACTGTGGTGTTGTCTGGAGGGTGAGGTCTTTCCTGCTGCCAGGCACTGGACCTAAGGGGCCTTCGCAGCAGGAAAGAGGAGCTAGAAGGAACTTAGTCTCTCACAATCAAGATTTCCAGGAGTCCAGATATCTAGGGGCACTCCTGAGAAATGGAGGGAGTTAAGAATGTCA